TATGCAATTAAATATTTTAAAATTGACATCTCTTAAAAGCTAAAAATATATATGAATCAATAAAAGATACAAAGTATATTCTCATTGCATATATTAAATAGTGTAATACATGCATAACTAATTTTATGATGGGAAATCATATTACTACATAAGAATTCGTACGATCTTGTAACCCTACATAGGATTTCACCGTAATATTTATAAATCTTTCGATATCATAAGATTTCAACCGCGATAATACGTAAAAAATATGACCTGTAACCCTACATAGGATTTCACCGTAATGTTTCATAAATCTTACAAACTCGTTAACTCGCGTAGTTTTATAATGTAATACTTTAAAATATTACAAAAATCATAAATCTACAAAATATTACGCTGCATTTAAGTTTCAGATATAGTTGCTAGAATTTTATGCTGTTACTGGGAATAATTCTCTTCTATTGTATGTGTTTTGCTAAGTTACTTTATTATTACAATTATAAGTAAATTCCTTATTGTTAAACTTTACAACTTTAGGGAATCTCATATTCTACAGGTATCTGAAATGTCTTAGAATTACTTTACTTGACTTTATGAACTTAAAGGTTTAGTAACTTAAGAAAAAATATAGAGAATGTGTTTATTCTAAGTGATGAACTTAAAGCAAGTTAGTGTAGTAGTTCATAAAGTTCTGAATAAGTCAGATTCCAGGACGATAATTTTCTGTGATTCATATAACGCTGCAGAATTTTCCTTAAATGCATCTAATTACATTATTTGTATTAGTCATTGCATAATTTCACAGAATTTAATATTTTTATAATTTTTATAATTTAGATCACAGAATCACGTGAGATTCTTAAGTTCAAATTTTGATCATTGAACTATGATAATCTTTCACGTTTTATAATTTGTACATTTGTTTTACAAATTAAGTTAGTATCTTTTAACAAATATAATAATGCGCAAAAAAAAAGTTTCCATAAACTCTCATATTAATGAATATCCTGGTATTTTTAGAGAGAATGGTGGTATTTTATTTGCAACTATTGTGACTTTTCAGTGGAATGAAAGTTAAAATCTACCGTTAATGCACATTGTCTTTCAAAAAGACATAATAAAAAAAACATCTTTATGAAATTAATGAACAAAAAAAGAGCAAACTACTATTTCTACAATTAATAATGTATTTGAATCCAAAAAAGAAGTTATAAAAGATTTAATTGAAGCTTTTTCCTTTGCAAATATCCCTTTTGGAAAAAGTTAATCAACTCCTTCCTTTTTTTAAAAAACACCTTAAAAAAGGTGATGCAATCCCTTAAGCTCCTACTCTTCACCAAATATATTTACCCAATGTTTTTGATAAACATTTTTCTTTACTTAAAGATTTCTTTTATCAAAAACCTGTTGCAATAATAATGGATGAGACTACAGATGATTGTTCAAGAAGTTTTATAAATACCCTTTTTACTTTTCGCAAAAATACAAAACTTGTATCAGTTGACATTTTGGAATGTGTGAATAATTCAACAATAGGTGAAACCCTTTTAACTATTCTAACTATCTATAATATTCCCTATTCCTTACCAAGATTATTTCTTTCAGATTTTGCATTATACATGAAAAAATGTTATAGAGAAGTTTTAAAACCAATAATGTCACAATTAATTCATATACCATGTTTAGCTCACATTATAAATCTCATTGGGTAAATACAAATTAATTTTATTTTAAATTTGCAAATTATTACTTCAATTTTACTTAATATTAACTATTATTTCTATTGATATATTTTTACAAGTGATACTTGGAGAATACATTTAGATTTTGGTCTTTTAAAATTATTATTATCCAAAATTAAGGAAACATTAGTAAATGCATCAGGATGAAAAGGACACTATTTAAACTATCTTAGAATACATGGAATTAAAAATCCTTGCAAGATCCCTTACCAAATAAGACATGATAGAATTCGTGGTTTAAAATAGTATTTTATGTTAAAAACTATATTGATTATTGGCCTTCTTTTTATTTTGAAGAATATGAAAGAGATACAAACCATTTATCAATTTCTATAATTAATGAAATTTTACAAGATGAACAAAAAAAAAATAATTACAATTTATATCAATTTTATTGCATGTTATGCGTAAGAATTTGTTCAGAATTTAGATTTTTTTTAACAGCAAAATAAGCCAATATTTCCATTTGTTGAAGGTCGTCTTGAACAACTTATATCTTATTTAGAAGGAAATCTTATAGTACAGGATTTTGGACTTGATTTATACTCTCTCATCATACAATTTAACTTTAACCCTGAGGATATTTATAATATTTTTCGATCAGCATTTATTGTTGCATACAATAAATTTGCAACACATATTCCACAACATCCTGCACAATCTTTATTTCGTGCTTGTTGTGTTTTTGATCCATTATATATTAAAACAGGAATTCAAGTTAGAGATATTTGTAGATATTCAGCAATTAAAGAACTTTGTAATCCTTCTAATGAACTATTGAGGGAATGGTCAATTTATTGTGAGTCAATAAATGAATTAATTGAAAAGCAGTTGATCTTAATTTGTATTGGATGGGAATGCAATTAAATATACCAATTTTAGCAAAAATTGCATTAGATTATATTTGGCTCTCAATTTCTAGTTGCAGTGTAGAGCATAGTTTCTCTATACATAATAACCTTTTAAATAATGATTGGCAAAATCTTTCGTATGAATCATTAAAAAAATTAAATATGTTATATTTTAATAAAAGTAATTGATTTTTAAAGCAAATTTTTTATCTTTTTTTAAATATATAAAAACACCGAATTGGTTTTAATCACCACAGAATTACACAGAATATATGAAAATTGGTATCACATTACATCACAGAATTTTGTTTAATCACACACATAATTTAGTTTTTATCAACGCAGAAAATCATTGTCCCTGATCAGGTTAAATGAGTTTTTGTCAAACTTAACTCAACTCAAAAAAATTGAGTCGAGTCGAGTCAGATCAAAAATATTTTAACCTTCAACTCGACTCGACTTAAGTTATTCATTCTGATTGAATGATAAATTATCATTCTATCGGAATGATTCTTTTATTGTTCCTTTAGAACAATGATTTATTGTTCCAACCAAACTGGATCAAATATTGAAAAATCAAAATGTATATCATATGGTAGCTAACAATTTATAAAATATATTAATTTGTTCTTAACATCTTTAGTTTTTATTTTTTGATAAATAAAGTTTATAATACAAATTTTACTTTTTTATAAAGTTTTATAACTGTTCTATACTTAAAACATTGAAAAATTAATATTGATTTTGGCAATTTTTGATTTTCAAAACTGGAATTGAAAATTGTTTTTAACAGCTAATTTATCATTTCAAAAATCAATTTTTGCCAATTTGACTTTCAATTTGGTTTTTAAAATGTCTGATTTTGACGAATTTTAGTTTGGTATACTGAGGAAAATTAGAAGTCTAGTATCGGTTTTTTTTAGTAACTAGCCTACTTTTTACACTTAAATTTCTAGCTAAATTCTAGGTTTTGAGGTTTAAAATAAATAAATATAAAATCATGTCGTGGTTAATGAGTTATAATCTTTTAAATGTAACTAACACTACTTGCGTTTCTTTTGTTGCCCACTATGTATTTTTTGAAATCGATATTTCAACAGCTCAATATTATTTCAATGTTAATTTATATTATAATGCTATAATAATGATTAAATATTAAACAATTATTCCTATTTAATATAATTTCTCCATAACGATTTTCGCCTATTTCGCCTATTTAGCTTAATTACGCCATATCGTATTCGTTATTTTTAAAAATATTCGTTCTATTTCTTTAATATAGACTACAATATAATATAAAATATAGAATATATGCAATGAAACCAAATTAAGGTTATAAAGAATTCATAATTTATTATTTTAAAATTCAGTTAATCTAATTAATAATATTATACTTGTCTGAAACGATGGGTAAAGATACTGAAGGGAGCGAACCCAATATTCATGATCCATATGCATACCATAGACCTCATTTTATTAGATGGAAGGGGTCAGTTATAAAAAAAGTACTTCCTTCTACTATGGTAATTACAATAGTAGCAATAATTGTGACGGTGGTTCATCTAAATACTCCCATTAAAATGGGTATACAGCAATCCTTTATTACGGTACTTAGTTTCGTTGTAGGTCTGTTACTTACTTATAGAACGAATACCGCATATGACAGGTAAATTACTTGGGAAAGTTTACAAAATTTGGTAAAGAGAGTATTTATTTGTTTTTTTTTTTTTTTCTTTTCAGATATTGGGAAGGAAGAAAACTTTGGTCAACTATAACGGTAGCTATAAGAAGTTTAACAAGAAATATTTGGATAAATATCAAGCAGGTAGATACGAATTCGAGAGATATCGTGGAAAAAGTATCCGCTATAAATTTATTATCGGCATTTGCCTTTGCCACTAAACATTATCTACGAGAAGATCCACCAAGCGAATATATAGATTTAAAACGTTTTATATCAAATATAAAAAGTGACTTACCGGGATTTGAACCGATTGAAGAACAAGATTTAAGAGATAATATCAAAAAATATGGACCGAGTTTCATAAATCGGCTTAAAAAATCACACCTAACTCCAGCACCCGAAAATTACAATTTACCTTTAACTATCACACTTTACCTTGGAGCATATCTTGAAGATAAAGTACGACAAAAGAAAATCGATGTTCCGACTAATAACGTGATGCACGCTTCATTAAATTCTTTGGTCGATAGTTTAACATCTTTAGAAAGAATTTTAAGAACTCCCATTCCGTTGGCTTATTCAATTCATTTAATTCAAACTGTTTGGATTTATTGTCTCTCTTTACCTTTTCAGTTAGTTGTGCGTTTTGAATATGCGACTATCCCTATTGTTTTCTTAGCTTCACTTGTTTTGATTGGAATTGAGCAGTAAGTTTAACTTCTCTTGAATTCCTTTTATATTTATTTAATTTATCTTTATTTTATTTTTTATTTTTTTTTTTTTAAAAAGGATTGGTAGTGAAATTGAAAACCCTTTCGGTCATGATGCTAACGACTTAAAATTAGATGATTTCTGCAAGTAAGTTGTGAATGAGTTCAAATGCCATTTTTTAAAAAAAACTTTCACTAATCGAATTTTTAATTAGACTTATTGAGCTTGAATTGGATACAATCATTTCCAACCCACGTCAATCCGTAAACGATTTGGTATATACTGAAAAGAATCGTCCATTCGGTCCTAATGGTATTTCAGCTTCTGATGCTCGAAAACTTTCAACAGAAGACGTTCGTACAAGACTATCTTATACATCTGAATTGGAAATCCAAATTCCTTCCATTCCTTCCAATCAGTAATTATTAATCAATAAAGGAATTATGTAGATGAAAAAGGAGTTTAATTTATTGAATTGTTTATTTAATAAAATTTTATCACGAGTATTTTTTATACTTTATGAGTCAAAACCAATTTTTGCCCACAATAATCATTACACTAAAACATTATAAAATCAACTAATTTATTTTATTTGTCTTTTTATTACTTTTTTACTTGTTACATACTATATAAGTTAATAAAAATAAAGAAATTAAATTGCTTGAGCATCTTTTTTGAGAGTACCAAGGTAAGTATGTTTTTCTTCTGCAGTTTGGAACCGTCCATGTCCAAATTTGGAACTGGTATCGATAAACTGAGATGAAAAGGGACGGAGGAACGATTATTAATGAATATAAATAAACTGAAAGATGATAATGTATAGATAAATATACCTTTAGAGAAACTTTTTCCAAAGCGGAACGTTTCGTGTGAGTAATTAAAGATTTTCTCAAAGTAAGAACACGCTTCTTTACTCCAACACATGCGCCTTTAATCATGATGCTGCACAAAAATAAATAAATAAATAAAAATATCAATCCGACAAATAACCCTCCCAAGAAATAAAGAATATACTTACAAATCCTCGTTAACAATACCATAGTGAGGAAAACCTCCTAACGGCGTGATCCTTTTTTGAGTAACATCGTATTCAGTTGATGCATTATTTTCATCTTTACAATTACCAATACGATAAATCTTTTTGTTGACTTCTGTTCGATGATGATATCCATCTTGACCAGCACGTGGAACAGAGTACATCACTCTAAATACATAAAAGAAATCTTCTAAGAAAAATTTTGGCTTGTTAAAAGGAAACAGAAAGGAGCGATGATACCAAATGTTATTACCTTGAAGGATGCCACGCGCCTAAAGGAAAGTTAAATTAAAAAAATTAGCAACCACGTGATAAAATCATTCTTATGTAAAAAAAAATGATCTTACTTACCAATACAAGCTACTTTACGCAAACCTTTATGAGTTTTACGAGGAAGTTTCTTCGTTCCCCAACGATGAGTTACACCTTCAAAACCTTTGCCTTTTGTGACACCAATCACATCAACAATTTCATCTTGTTCAAATACCGAGGAAATGTCAACTGTGCTTTCAAATTTACTTTTAGCCCAATCAACTTTCTGTGGAATAGTACCACCATTTACTTGAATTTCCATGAGATGAGCTTTCTTTTGTCCAATTTTAACTTTAAGAATTTGTGTGTGGGCTAATACTCTCACAACATGACAATATTTCTTGATCCTTTCTAATTCTTTAGCAATATCTTTCGCTTCACCTGCATGTTTTTTAGCATATTTTGTAAATGCTTTCTTTTTTGACTTATACCAATTCTTATAAAATCTTCGTTTAACTTCATAACTTAAATGTTCTGCCCATACTGTGGTCAATGTACGTAATCCTCTTGGTGTTTTAACATAACCGACTACGCCTACGATAACCAATGGTGGCGTTTCAATGATGGTAACAGCCTCAACAACCTCCTTCTTGTGCATCTCTATTTAAATTAAATCGATTAGATGATTCATAAGTTAAAAAAAACCAAGTTTTAAAGAATCATGATTAAAAATTTTTTTTTTATTTGATCTTGATCACTTACTTGAACCAGGACGGTCCATATCACGAACAACGTGAGTCATACCCGCCTTATAACCCATAAAAGCGGTCAAGGAAACAGGCTTACTTGGATCATCTTTTGGAAAGGACTTTACTTTACCGCGATGTCTTCTCGCCCGTTTACGGGGAAGAAATCCCAAAGAGCCATGACGGGGGGCCTCAAATTTTCTATGAGACTTTATATTGCATAAAATTAATTAATTGTCTCATAGTTAATTAAATTTTTTGAAAGTTCAATTCCACTTTTGATTAGATGGATGGATTTAAATCAAAATATTTTGAGTAATAATTTTTACATACCATGTTGCCCTTTATTTGATTTGGGAAGAGAGGAAGATGAAGGATTTCGAATGATTTTTTCTTTTTAGATTTATGAAAGTCACACGAAAATCATCTGGTTATATGAATATGTAAATCACGTGAATTAGATATAATAAACCAATAGAAAGTATAAAAAAATCTATAAGGTCATAGCACTTTTACACATATTACATTTAACTTAATAATAACCAAATGAATCCTGAAGTTTATCCAATTGATCTAGTAAGGATGTTACTTTTCATGCATCAATCCTTTAAATTGGTGAATTCAAAATACTAATAATACATAGACGGTAGATCGAAAAGTCGTATCAGATATTTTACATGGTAATATTCTTGATTCCGGTTAATTCTTAAAATTTTTTTACAATATTAAATATTTAATATATAAATAAATATATATATATATAAGGGATCCTACATACCATACTGTTTTATCGCGTATTTGGGAATATTAAACCAAAGGAAGTGGATTTGTTAGACATCACATATGTAAGGTCTATTAATTAGCCACTAAGTGGCCTTTTTGAGATGAGTAGCGAATCGAAATAAATCCGATTTTCATTTAATTAGTCTGCTATAGATGATCCAGAAATTGAAAAGGTAGTTGACGATAGAGTAGATCAGTTCATGCGCATCTTAGAAACTCAAGGAAATCAAAAAGGACAGGTAATTTATCTTATTTTATCATTAGTGCCCGTTTAAAATCATTTTCATTTTTTTTTTAAAAAAAAGATAAATAAATACATTTAATTTAATTTAAAGATTGCCGTAATATTTCACGAAAAAAGAACAAAAAAAGCTTGGTTTAGTAAATCCGAAGAAGAAATTTGTTGGGAACAATGGCCTGTCACTATAAACACGGTTATATGTCGGACCGAAAATGGTAATGATCAATTTTAACACGTAGTTTCAAAATTTTGATCTTATTCAATTTTCGATCTCATCATATTATCGTTATTATTTGATTTTCATATCAAATTCAAAAATAACCTTCTAAAAATCTATTCATTTAGAAACAAAGAGAATTCGTAAAGATATGGATGATCAATTAGCTACGTGTTTATTGGACATTATACGATTCGTTAATGATAAAAAGGATCACATACCTCCCATAACAACCTCTGACATCAATCCATTTCCCTTTCAAGTACGTATATATGTAACGTTTTACTTTATATTACGTTGTCTCCTTTATTCCCTATTGATTTACCAAAATTATTTCCTTTTTTCCTATAATAGATTGTTATCCCCGATACCACAGATACTTGGGGTACGGTATTAAAAAGAATGTTAACAGACCCATCACAGCAAGTTTAATTTTAATAATCACTTCAGCATCATCATCATAATTAATCATATTGTATAATATAATATTAAATTATTAAAAGTATTTATTAAGATATAAAATCAATAATTCTATTAATTTAGATCTTATAGAGAAATTCCGAAGTGCAAAAAAAAATTTTGTAGTTCATATAAAACTTTTAAATTAAAGAATACAATTTCGTTTTAATAAATTCCATCATTGTTGTTATTGTCAACTTTCCACCATTGCAATGTTATTACAATTTGAAAATTTTATTAATCAACTTCATAAATCTAATTTATATATCGAAAATGAGCGGTAATTGTTTTTTATTTATAATATATAATTTTATATAAACCTTTTTTTTTTAAAAAAAAAAATAAAATAAAATAAAATAATAATAATAGTAATAGAATAAAATGTACCATTCATTCACTATATAATCTTGTAAGAGTAAGAAAAAAAAACCCCTCAAAATAATTCTAAAGTAAACAAAATCTTTTAAGATTTAGATCAAATAGTAACATCACTTAACCATGGATGATTTTTAATTTCACTTAAAGTGGGACGCCTCTGAGGATTATTTTGCAAAATTCTGTTAACAAGATTTTTGGCTTCATCACTAATTCTAGATCTTCTACTATCAGTTTCATTTTGACTATCTGGAAAGGTAAAATCTGCTCTAATAATCTTACTAAAAAATTGTCTTCTTGATTGACCAGGTTCTAAATTAAAAGGTAAATAACCAACCAATAAAGCATATAAAATAATTCCCAATGACCATATATCGGTCTTACGTCCATCATATGGATTTCCCGATATAAGTTCAGGTGCCGCGTATTCTTCCGATCCACATCGTGTAGTTAAAATTGGGGATGATTTATTAATGAACTTTGCCAAACCAAAATCTGTTAATTTAATAATAATTGGTTCATCTGGTGATGATGAATCTATTAAAATATTCTCTAATTTCAAATCTCGGTGTACAATATTATTTTCATGTAAATATTCTATGATGTTAACTAGCTGAAGGAATATATGCTTACTTTCTTCTTCAGTTGAATTTTCATAATTCTCATTCACATAATCAAATAATTCACCTCCTGGAACATATTCAAGAACAAGACAAAGATGTGTCGGTGTGTCAATTGTATCCAAAAGTCCAACAATGTTTGGGTGATTAATATACTAAAAGAAGGGGAAACATTATTAATTAAAATAAAGTTATATATAGACACAAAAATAAAATAAAACAATATTAATTTACCTTTAAAAGTTCAACTTCCCTAGATACGCTTGCCTTTAACCTTTCACTGTCTTGAATTCCTTTTATCTCAATCATTTTAATTGCTACTTTTTTGCAAGTATTCAAGTCAATCGCTAATTTCACTGTTGAAAAAGAACCTTTACCAATTTTTTTTAAAATCACATAATGACTGATTAATTCTGCACCTTTTGACAAACCAAGTTTCGATAATCTTTGTTGTAACGTATGATGACCAAATATTGGGCCTGTATCATCACTTGTTTGATTAAATTCTTCTACAACCGAATTACCATTTTGCAAATAACTTTCGGAAGATGAACGCTGATGCGGGTAATTTTGATTATCTGCATTCAAACTTGATGAACTTATTTTCCGAATTGGTGGTTTATGTTTTAAATAATGTGCAGCAGGAAAGTCACAAACTGAAGTAGCGGGACTTGGTAATGTAGCTAACGCGTCATCATCCGAAGCTATACGTTGATGTTGAGGCCTCTTTGGTGGCACATAAAAGGAAGAAATCTTTAAATTATTGTTCTTTGGGTCTTGAACAAAATTCGTAGCAATTTTTGGTAGATCAGATGGTAGTAATTTTCTTTCGGACGGAACTGCGGTAGTTGTACTTTCATCATCTCTAGTTTCTTCTTTTATTATATTCGCGTTATTTTTTTGTTGATCATTCGAGTCTGATCCATGTGATGATGGCGTGGATGAAGTAGTCAAAATATTGATACTTGGCGACAAAGGAATGCTCGACGGAGAAGTTGGTGATGTAGTTGGGGAAGAAATAGTATTATACATTGGAAGTGAACCTCCTTGAGTGCTGCTACAAGTATGTCGTTTTCGATTCTCCATTGCTGGAGAAGAATTAAACATCTTATCGTAAGGTAATCTCGTTCCATTGTCTGTAACAATACTTCTTGATGAATCGGATAAGATTGGCATCGCTTTTAAAGTCGAAACAAGCTGGTGATAATTTAATTATCTTAAATTTATGAAATTCTTGTTAAAAAGTTAAGAATTCCAATTATCGGTTAAAAAGTGTAAAAACGCGGATACTGTGTTTTTCTGTTCTGGTTTCTAGCATTATTATTTGATCCAGGGAAAATTTGTCAAAATAACAAAATAATAACTTTCAAAAGATTAAAAAATAAAAATAAAAATTTGTTACCTTTTAAATATTTATAATTTTGAATCAAAAAAAATAAAGCAAATTTTTCTTTATCTTTTCTTGACGAAACGATATATATACAAAAGGGTATAAATATATAATATGTACCAAGACAACTAATAAAAGAGTCTTCTTTTTTTTTTTTAAAAAAAAAAAAATTCAAAATTTTAAAATGTTCGGAATTCTTTGGGGTGTTTTTTTTTATATATATTTTATTTTTATTTATTTTACACTATTTTTAAAAAGTGACAATAGGGAAATATACAAAATATGATGGAAGAGAAAAGAAAGTGGATTCTTCAAATGTTTGTTATTTTTATAAGAACTAATGTCAAATTGTCCCAACAAAAATATCAGAAAATACTAATAAGAAAATAAGATGTTGAAAATGTTTCTTTTTATATATATATATCCTTTTATTCTATATTTAAATAAATATACACCTCAAAATTCTGAATTTCTTTCTACTCCCCTTTAGCAAGTGTAAAACGGTACCCGGCTACCAATTAGAACTTTGTAAAAAAGTGTATATATATATTTATATATATATATGTACAGTAAAAAGGTATTGGGATATTTAAAGAGTATTGCTTTGTCTTTTTTTTTTTAAAAAAAAAAAAAAAAATTACACAAAGGGGAGTAAAGAAGAAATGGGACAAGTTTTATAATTTTTAATAAATTTTTCTTTTGTCAACGGGATTATGAATAGATTTTTAATAAGGATACTTATATCAATTCTCTAGCCAAAGACGGTCAAGCTGCATATCGCATCTTATGAATTGGATTGTGTTTAGTAATCCACAGTTCAACCAAATTCGAACATTTTGAATTGCTTTAAAATGATTGGCTGTTTGTAATATTACTCACCTGACATTACAATTTAATACCTCATTAAGCAACAAAAACTATCCTTATCGTTATGATAATTTATGACTTTTATTTTCTTGATTAATAAGTAATAAAAAAAATTTCGGATTTTTAATGTTCCTCTAGTAAGTAAATGATAAAAAATCAAAGTCTATTGAAATTTATCTCAATATGATGAGAATCGATTCTGAGAGAATGCTGAATCTGTTGATTGAAAACTTGAGGCGGATGAATCTTGAGAATGCATTGATTGTACAAAACCCGTTAACTGTGTCTGCTGCCTTGGAGGTACAGATAGCCTTCTAAAAGGATTATTATCAAAAGTTGTTGAAGTTGATGTAAATGAGGGTTGTATAGCTTGTTGAGATAATTGAGATTGGAATTGTGTTCCGGAATCAATTGAATCAAATGGATTCGAAACATTCTTAATAGTGGATAATGATTGAAAGAATGGATTCTGATAAGCTTGTGATATATGAACTGGGTCTTGTACGTAAATTGACGAACGAAATGGGTTGGTATCTTGCATTGTGGATACAGGTTGAAATGTATGTTGACTTAAATTTTGTCGCATTGGAAACTGTTTACTTTGATTTTGCATGACTAAAAAGGGATTAGTAGCGGTATCGCAAGGCAATGAATTCGTGTCTAAAGTATTTGTAACCGTATTTTGATCAAAAATCACAGTGTGTTCTTTTTCAATGCTTGCAAAAAAATCAATAAAGTCAATTTCTTTGGTTGGAGTTTCTTTATTACTTGGAGTAGTCAAAGATGGAGCAGGTAAAGAAGCTATAGAAACAATTTCTAATTTCAATATTAAAAAAAGGGTTTTAGTATACAAATTCAATAAAATTAATAAATATAATGTTCAAATAAATTTTTAAGTTACTTGAATCATTTCCTGATTTGTTTTCAAAAGGTTTATTATTATTTACGAGTTTCCTTGAAATCGATTGCTCTTTTGGTGTTTTATATCGTTTTTCCCTTGCACACTTAAATTGCGCTCTGTTATTTTCAAAATCCGGATCGTTGACATAATCTTCTAGGGAAGATGTCAATGAAATAGGTGCCTAAAATAATATAAAGAATGTAAATTAAAAAATTATATTTAAAAAGTCAATTATTAATAAGCTTAATATCTACATGTTTTAGATTAGGAATATCAATTCCAAGGGAAACTTGTATATTTTTCGCTGCTCCTAGATAATCCACCACTCTTTCGGTCTGTTTAACGTATGCCTTATAAATACGTAATGCATCTTTAGCATCTATTTTCGACATTTCGAAAAATTGATCTAAAACATTTATAACACCTTCGTTTACAGCTTGAAACAAAACCAGTAAGTCTTTAACCAAAAGCCTGAAAGCTAATAAAGTAATTTCGTTATCGACTTCATCCAAATAAAACTAAAATTAAAATAAAGTTATTTCTATTTTTTTTTTATCGAATATAAACAAATTATATTAATTATCAATATATGACAAACCTTGCAATTCAATAAAGCCGCCAATTGACGCTGTAATATTTTAACTTCTCTCAATAGTCCTTTAGCAACAGTAAGTTTCCTTAATCGTCCAATACCTTCCTCGCTTGTAGCTTTTATAAAATCAATTTTCAATTCTCGATATACCGCTACTTTTTCTTCAAGGTAAATGGCATAAGCATGTATATTTTTAGTTTGCACTACACCTAATTAAATGAAAATTAATTTATAATCATGTATGTAAATCGTAAATAATAAAACAAAATAATTGATACAAACCGTGAGAGCCTGATTTATCTTTAAAACCTGAAACGTTTAATAAACCCGGATACTTTACCAAATGGTTTAAAACGCGATCATTTTTACCAAGTCTCATTAAGATGTGAATGACAATGAGGCTTTTGAAAACTACCTATCTTATAATAAACGTTAAAATATATAAAATGATACGGAATATCGATTTTAAAAACTACTCCTTACCGTCCACGAGTGTTCCTTCAATCGATAATCAAGCGACATAAACATTGTTTCTAAAGTATCATCCCTAGAAGTGGCTGGAATCAAAACTAACGTTTGTTCATTTGAAAAAAAAATATTTTCTTTATTAAATATAAACCGTTTTATTGAACAAATTTGCTCAGAATAAGTTATATACATATTAGATACCATCGAGGTATTTCTTCTTTGGAGCAGCCCGTTTTTGCTTTGTCGCTCCTCGAATCGCTTTATCCATATTTAGAGACATTGTGGAAGATTTTATATGAAATTAAGGAAAGACGAAGTGAAAAATAATAATATTATTTGGTAAAGTTTGAATGACAAAGTCTGCTTATAAAAAATATGATGATGATATTTATGCGTCATGCAACTACGTTACATTCGGTTATTACTAAAAAATGTGTAGCCCAAATTAATTGAACTATATTTGCAGAAAAAATGATTTTTCACGTGATGTACAGTACGTGATGTGCATGATGTTAATAATAAATAGATTTTTGTTTATTGAATAAGTTTTTAAAGACGAACTCCACCAGTCCGAACTGATAATTGTTAAAGATAAAATGGGTGGTGATCTATTAAAATTGAGGTACGGATCATATGATTTACTATGTCTCGTACCTCAATTTTAATAGCA